CAAGTTCCCAAGGTTGAGAAACACTGATCTACAGTATATCATGTTTAAGGGGTGGCTTTGAATAAGACAGCTTGAACGGTCCATTTTGTGTATATCTGGAGGTGAACTTGTGTTTTAGAAAAGCTCCATCAAAGAGGCTGTAGCAGCAACATGTACAGCCTGACCTTGATATTACATGGATTCCTGGGGTAAATGTTGGTTTTCCTCCTTTGTGATTTTGGTCCCAGGTCACATCCCTTTTATTTTTCCCAGTAGACATTCTCAAGAGCCACTTACCAACATCTCTGCGTAAACCTTTCATCTACCTCTTTCTTCTGTCATTTCTGATTTTTTGAGATGATACTCAAGTGTCATAGAATCAGTTCTGGGAACATTAGAGTGCCGGGTCATTGTCAGGGGGGGCGGATTCAGCAATGATATTCATAGTTTGTGTTGCCTTGCAAATAAAGCTTAGAGGCACAGCTTCCCTTCCAGAAGGAAGTCAGCAACATCTTTTCTATGGAGTGCTCCTTCCGAGAACAGCTGGACTAGAACTTCCCTCTTCCCAAGCCAGCTGGAGGGTGCTAGAGAAGAGTACACAAAGGCGTTAGGACCTCAGTGCACTGGGAATGGCTATGTGCAATTTTCCCCCACAGTGGTTGCTGTTTGCCAAAGATGAACCGACAAAGACTCTTTATGTATTGGGTAGCCTTTTTAATGTTGTGTGGAGATGGTAGGTAAGTAGGTAGGTAGGTAGGTAGGTAGGTAGGTAGGTAGATAGATAGATAGATAGATAGATAGATAGATAGATAGATAGATAGATAGATAGATAGATAGATAGATAATTGTTGTTTTTGTTGTATGCCACTGAGTCACATTGCTTGAGTTGGGTGGAATTATAGAATGAATGAATGAACAAACGAACGAATTAATTAATTAATTAATTAATGACATGGTTAACTGTACCTGGAAAATATGTCACCGTGCTGCCCCAGCATTTTACCAGCAGAAACAGAAGCCAGGATGAACCACTGCAGCTTTTTAACCAAGGGGCGTAGTGCAACTGCAGGGATACAGCAGTTCCATCTACAGTGAGCAACACACAGCACACAGTTTGGATGTAAGCCACCAACTCATTTTTGTGGCCCTTGGAGCCTCTTCTGCCAAAACCTGACAGCAAAATACAAAAATTTGGTGACGTTCCAACGCAAAGGACAACCTCTAAGTGCTAGAAGGTTCTGATAGGCTTCAACTTGTGCTCATCCTTCCCAAGTGCCCAATAAAGGAGAAAAGGTTTGGAAAATGTTGGCGTCACCCCATTGAGAGGCATCATATCATCCAGCTCCCTGCACTGCCTGGAGGCCAAAGAAAATAATTGTAAAAAGGAGTGCTTCTTCCCCCAGCAGCCAAGCAATTCCCCATCCCTGGCCTAAAAGATGCTCCCTCTGTTTCCCAGCTGCAGGGGGGCACCAGTAGGGCGGATTCATCTATTGCTCTGATCCTGACCAAGTGTTCTTTCTCGGTGCAGCAGAAGACAAAACAAGCAGCTGAATTGCTGAGCTTGAATAGAGCGTGACTCTTCCTTAACTTTCAGAGGCTGAGTGAGTTTGTCTGTGTTAAGGTGGCCGGCACCTGCCGTGTGTGCCCAGACAATGCCTAACTTGATCCTGTTCGACTGGCTTGGGGTGTGGAGGGCTAGGCAGAAACGATTCATGCTCTGGCAGCTATTTTCAGTTCAGAGTGGCTGCTTTATTGGCACCTGTGCGGCCTTGGCTTTGTAGTCCCAGCTGCAGCAGCCCTGTCCCTGAAGGGGCAGCTCTTGTGCCTAATCTCGCCGGCTGTTGTGCTGCCAGAAGAATAAATGGGTGCAAAGGACTAGAAAAGTTAAGTGAAAAGGCAAGCTGGTTAGAGTTATTAATAAAGTGAATGTCAGGATACAATGTGTGTCCATGTGCAGAAGGGAATGTGCTTCTGGTTATCAGATGAGAGGGTGCAGTGCTGTCTGGGAATCAGCAGAATAATTTGACAAGTTGCTTTTGAAAGCGAAAGATTAATTAGGTGCCATCAAGTCAGTGTCGACTCCTAGCAAGCACATAGATAGATTTTTCTCCATGACGATCTGCCCCTAACCTGATCCTTCAGGTCTTCTAATGGTGCACCCATCACCGCTGTAACTGAGTCCACCCACCTTGCTGTGGCCATCCTTTTCTTCTCTTTCCTTCTACCCTTCCAAGCGTTAGAGCCTTCTCCAGAGAGCTAGGTCTTCACGTAATGTGTCTGAAGTAGGATAATTTGAGTCTGGTCATTTGTGCCTCAAGTCACTTCCCTTCCTGGGCTTACTCTTAGTAACTTAGGTAGATCTTGTTCAGGATGATCTGTGCCCAGCCTGGTCCTTCAGGTCTTCCAGTGGTGTACCCATCGCCACTGGTGGTCATGTTCTCTTTCCTTCCACTTCTCCCAGCATTAGAGCCTTCTCCAGAGAACTAGGTCTTCAGATGATGGCTCTGAACTAGGATAATTTGAGTCCTGCTCATCTGTATCTCGAATGAGAACTCTGGATTGATTTGTTCAATGAACCATCGGTTTGTTTTCTTGGCTGTCCATGGTATTCTCAGGAATCTTCTCCAACACCAAAGTTCAAAAGCATCAATTCTGTTCCTATCCTGCTTCTTCAAAGTCCAATTTTTGCTTCCATAGAGTGTCATGGGGAATACCATTACCTCACGATTCCAATCTTTTGGAAGCAAAGGTTGGACCCTGAGTTAGATCCAGCCTGGCTGTTCTCGCATCCTTAACTTGCAATAAGTGTGTGCTTTAAAAAGAGCCTCTTTAATTTGGCCAGTTGGTGCACAGAACCTGGTGCCATTTCCAGGGTATCAGCTACGTTGGACCCGATTGTCCCTAGACCTTCCTACTCTGTTTCTCTGCTACCTGCTCTCCCCATGTGCTACTTTTTGTTCTGCATTCTCTTTTGCTGCCTGAATTCCCTGTACTGTACAGCTGAGAAAAAGGGAGGGGAGGCAAATCATGCACAGAGGGCCCATATCAGTATACAGCTCCCCACTCAAGACTGATAAAGTCTTCAGAGGGCCCCTGCGGCTACCTTCCCTGTCTTAAAGGGCTGGGAAAGCCAGGAGCTGGGATGGCATTGTGGAAGTGGCAGAGAGCAGAACAGAAACAGATGAGCTCACAGCTGGGGCAGGAGAACCAAAAAAGATGCTTAGGAAACTCCAGGTTAGACTGTGCTCCGTCTAGCACTGGGTTTATTTCCTCATCACCTGCTACACAGTCACGTAGGAGCTACTTGGAACTCAGCAGCTTTGTGCCATCTGCGAAGAAAAGCAGTCCTTGTAGTTTTGCTCCCCCTCCCCACTTTATTGCCTGCCCCCTTGCTGACCTGGAGCTGTGAAAGCAAAGTCCTCTTGCTAACAGAAAGTCTGTTGAAGAATGAGAGACATCTAGCACGAGCTTTAGGCGATAGACATCCTCTGTGCCCCTCCCTCAAGCAACCCACCACCCACTGATAATCTGTTATCGCTGTCAAGTGGGGGTGCTGGGGGAAGAGATCTGCTGTTCCTTGCAGATTGGATGAATCCTAGGATTAGTTCTGTGTGTGTGTGTGTGTGTGTGTGTGTGTGTGCGCGCACATGTCTTTTTGTTGGATTTCTTGCATACTGCAGCAGATGGCTATAGTAACACAGTAGAACAGACCCCATGGAGTGCAGAGTGAATAAGGCAATACAGATTTGTCATAGCATCCAGTCTTTCCCATCTGGTGGATAACAGATTCTGGAGCAGATTTTTGGTCTCCCAGCTTGGTGTATATTTG